ATGATATTTTTTTATTTTTTATTTTTTGTATTTTTGAGACAGGGTCTCCCTGTAGCCCCAGCTGGCCTGGAACTATGTAGGCCAGGCTAGCCTTGAACTCAGAGATCCACCTGCCTCTGCCTCCCCAGTGCTGGGATTAAAGACATGCACCTCCACGCCCAGCTGGGGATGGTAATTTTTGAGTCACAGTTAATCTTCCTAAATGATTTACAACCATTTATAAGCAACTCCAGATTCCTAAGGTATATTCAACTCTTCTACCCACATTCTAGCAAAGCTGTGATTATAATAATCACTACATTTAAAATCACAGGGAAAAAGACAAGCAAGGAGGTTACCTAGAATGTATAATATAGATTTAAATCATGCGGTTGGTTGGGTGTTTTCTTTCAAGACGTGTAGAGAAGAGACCTAGTAATTTTTTTCTATATATAGATTATTTGAAGACCAGAGATGAAGGAAGTTTTCTAAAAATTCACCCCATAATCCAATTTTAAATCCACTTGAGTTTATGTATTTCCTTAGCGCACAACAGTGTTTTTCAGTTTTGGCCTCTGGGAAGCAGAAAGAGACAAAAAGCTGAAAAGAGGATATAGGAAGGAGCAGAGAGCAATGCACAAGGCTGGAAGAAATCAGACACGGGGGTCAATGAGAAATGCAAAAGGAATTTAAGTTTTGGCATCATGCATTGATTTCTGAAGGAATTAATCTGGTTCATTTCTTTGGGCATTCATCACTTCACTATAAAGTTCCAAAGGACTCAGGGATGATTGAGAGATGCACAGTTAGTTATAGGTTAGGTCTGTGGAGAAGCATGCTCATTTATTTAAAAAATTAAATGTCTTCACCATATATATGGGCTTTTTTTTTTTGAGACAGGGTCTCCCTGCATCCCCCAGCTAACATGGAACTCACTATTTAGACCAGGCTGGCTTGATCTCACAGAAACTGCCTGCTTCTGCCTCCTAAGTGTTGGAACTCTTAAATATTTTAATGATAATAAAATCATACGGTAATAACTCAGTCTATATAATGAGAGCCAAGCAGCAAAGAGAAAATCTTCTTCCTTGTCACATCTGGTCCTTTTCAGCCACTGTTAAAATTTTCTTCAGTACCTTCTCAGAATGAAAATTAAATTCAACTCCCTGGATATATCTATGAATGTGTAGAGGTGGGAGACCGACATTTAAATCATATTCCAAAGGAAAAAACACTGTGTCTGCTATATATTAATCTACCTTTTTATATTTAAAATGTGTTTTGGAGATATTTTTACATGCTTACAGTCACACAAGCTCCATAAGCAAGGGAATTTTGGTGTGTGTGTTGTGTATGTTCATGTGTGTAGCATATGTACACATACCTGTGTGTATAAGTGCAGAGACCAGATGAGGACATCAGCTCTCCTGCTCTATCACTGCCTTACTCCTTTGAGACAGGGTCTCTCACTGAGCCTAGGCTGCTATAGTAAGCCCAGTGATTCTCCTGTCTCTGCCCCCCACAGTGCTGGGGACATAGGCATATATGCAGCCATGCCTGGCTTTCTATGTTTGTGCTGGTATCCAGCCCCTGGTCCTCATGCTTGTGCAGCAAACACTCTTACCCACTAAGACATCTCTCCAGCCCATGATTTTGTCTTTTTTTTAAGCATTGGATCTGCAATGACTAGATACAAGTTTTGCATATATTCCCTAAAGTTTCATAGGCAAATGAATAAATTGTAAATAAAGATTTAGTCTTTTGATCCAAAGGTTAGTAATACATTGGTTTAATGCACCCAAAGTATCCAGTTATGGATGAACACGTACACTTTTTTCCTTTTCGTCATTACTGAGGTCAACATTCATAAACTTATCTGTTAAATCCTATTCACCTCTATTTATAAGTGAATTTAAGGTAATTACTTAGTAATGTTGCAGACCAGGCAATTCTATTTTCAATTTTAATATTGTCAAATGACCCTCTACAAGACAACATTTACTTTGAGGCAACTCATACAAAAATCACAAATTCCTAAAAACCACATGTACTTTCAATTACAGCCTCTTAGTGGAAACTATATCAGATGAGATCTCAAACAAACAAACAAAAACTAAGAATCATTTTGGCCCTGCTGAACACTCAGGACATCCTTTTTCTCAAAGACAAAGTACTTAATCCTACTGGCCAGACTTTTGGAATTCAGCCGAAATTCTTGGCTGTGTCTTTTATATGGTCTACTAATAAAAATACTTCTATTATTGTCTTTTTGTAGAAAATTAAATTCCTTCATTTTTGTTAGCTACACATAATGATTTAATAGCTTGGCAGATTTCATGGAGATGCTTATTGGAAGAGTACCGGAAACAGTCCCCAAGAAACGCTTGAAATTCTCTCAGGCGCTCTCAAGGATTCCACTCTCAACTGACATTAGAATAAGAAAAGTAACCTATAAGCAGAAAGAAGGTTGTAGTCCCATTAACATTCATGAGGGCTGAATGGCTGAAGTCCTGCACATCAAGTAGGGAATATTCCCTTTGTCTCCGATGAGAAACCGTCTCGGTGAAAAATGGTTACAGACAGGGTGTTACAAGGGCAGCAGCACACAGAACAGCCCCGGCAAACTTTTTTTTGTCCCAAGGTTTTCTTTTCCTGGAGCTTTTCATAGCATTGTGAGGCACAGCGCCTATCCTTTCAAGCAAAGGACGAACACTGCAATGTGAAATCCCCAACCCTTGCAGGGGCACTTCTCAGAGGAAAAACAAAACAAAACAAAACAAAAAACCCCAAACCTTTGAAAGAGCTTAGAACAATGTTTCAAAGGCTTCCTGCGGTGAGGTGAAAAGCGCTGTGCATTGTGTATCCACGATGCGGGCCTAAATGCATAGGTAATAAGAGTTAAGCAGGGTTGTCAAAGTGCGGTGTCTGTAGCCAACACTAGTAAACATCAGATACATCATTACAATGCTTTACATGCATTTGCATAAATATAGACACTTCATCTACTCTAGTACATCTGAAATAGAAATCAAATAGGAACACATGAGAGACTAGTGTCAAAGAATTCAACTCGGACTGCTAAAGACCTTGTTACTTTTGGAACCACAGTAGGTTGGTTACAAAGTTGTAGAAAGCTTGTCCCACACCCAGGTGTGACGCCCAGCACGAACCCTTCCCGGGCCTGGCTCTAGGTGGCTCACTTTCCTCACCTATGGACAACCCACACCCAGTATTTTGCCTCTCTAGCAGTAGTCCGCAGGGTCCAGCATGAAAAGAAAGAGAATAGGACGTCAACACTGTGCTTGTACTTTCTTCTTCCCCACGGTAAAGAAAACTCCAGATGCGGAGCAAGGCCGGCAGCGGCGTTGGTTCCAGTCGCCAGGACTGTGAAGACGTTGAACAAAAGCGCAGCCTACAGGCCGCCGGGGGTCGCGGGTTTGGAAGGGACGCTGCGCGGACCTCGCAACTCCTCCAAGGCAGCAGGCGGGGCGGAGAGGCGGGGCTAGGGGCGGGACAGGAACCAGGTCCCGCCCCCAGCGGCGTTGGCGCGCCTGCGCGTTGGCGTGGGCCTGCGGTTGGCCGCCGGGGTTCTGGGCTTACCGCCCCCGCCCGCGCCCTCGCACCTCCGCCCACTCGACGCGATGACGCACCGCAGGTTTGCGGACGTGGCGGCGGCGCAGGGTCCGGAAGGCGGGGTCGGCGAAGGCAGCAGTAGTGGACCAGGACCACCCGGAGCCCGGGGTCCGTCATGAGCTGGTCCCGGGCCGCGGCAGCTGTGGTGGACGTGGTGTCCGGGTCGCCGCGTCCCTGCTAGCGCACAGGTGATGGTGGCGGCGGGGCGGGGCGGGAAGCGGCCGGGGTCACCGCGGGGACGCTGCTGCGGGACGGGACCGGGCGAGTCCCCGCCACCCGCGCGTCGGGGGTTCCACCGCATCTGCTCCTGGGCGCCAAGTGATGCTGCGACCAAAACTTCACAGGTGTAGTCCTCGCTGGGACTACAGGAGGAGGGAAGAAGAAACTAGTGGGATGGAGAGAGGAAGATTTGTTGTTTCGGTTTAAAATCAAATCGGCCCCGGTGATTCTGTCCCCAGTGCTGATCAAGCTTATGCCCAGTGAGTCCCCTGTCGCGCCCTGCCTGAGGTCAAAAGGAAGCACCCAGCAGCGGTTAGGGTGTAGGGCCAAGGGGTTTTAAACCACTTTGGTTGTAGACGGAGCTGATGGAAACATTCAGTGTCCGTAGGGGATCACTTTTTCTCGCCGCTTGTCATCTGTGCAGCACGCTGGCTTGTTCCAGTTTTCTGAAGCAGGGTTTCCTGCTTTTTTTCCACCCGGTAGAAATAAGAGAGGAAGAAAATTGATACAGATAACTGGGATACTAATTACTTTCTAATCTCTAGTAGTTTGCTTAGGTCCTTATCTACCCAGGCTACACCGAGAATTTTTGGTTCTTCAGATGTGAATATTCAGATTATGGCATTCTCATGTTCTGGCCTTTTGATAATTGTTTATCAACATATCGCAGGGAAAATGTTATAGAAGTAAATTTTGTCTCAAATGGCTTTTAGCATTCCTCAGAGAATTTCACGTAGTGTCAGGCCAGAGAAGGTTTAAAGGGACAATATAGCCACTTATAAATTGCTGTGTATTAAGTTTGGTTTTCGATTTTGTTTTTTGATGGTTTTGAGACAGGGTCTCCCTGTAGCTCCATCAGACCTGGACTTGCTATGGAGGCCAGATTGGCCTTGATCTCGCAGAGATCCGCCTGCCTCTGCTTCCCGAGTGCTGGTATTAAAGGCATGTGCCATCGCACCCGGCTAAGTGATTCTTTTTTGATCATGGATGTCTTTTGAGAATATGAAACAATACTCCCCCCAGATAGTATACATATGTATAAAATTTGCTTTTGATTCCACAAGACTGACAGGAATCCCCTAGATTAAAGACATGGGGGGGGGGGAAAGATCTGGTTAAGTAAGTGGAAATAAACTGTTGTCTTTGGAGGAATAGGTATAACCCTGACTTCAAAAGTGCTTCTGAGATGTAAAATGTGGGCTTGCTTTAGTTTCGTAGCTGCCAAATTAGGAGTGCTAATTCTTGGGAGCATTTGAAATAAGTTACTAATGTATAGCTATTAGTTTCTGAAAAAAATCTGAATAGACAGCTTTGAGTTGTTAAAGCAATACATTGTAGCTACAGAACAGGTTAAAAACTGGATTTTAAGGGCTGGGTTTAATTAAATGAAATAGTTTTAAAAGTTGAGTATGTGTTAAATAGAGAGATAATCCTTTGTCATTCCTTTTATAAACTGTGACTCAGAGTTGGTGGCTTTCAGCTTCCGGTCTTCCTCCTCTTTTACTTGGTACTCATCCATAGTATTCAAAACAGATTAAGTTTTGCCTTCTTGGACTTCATGACATAACATTTCTGTGACTTCATCCTTTTCCATGTTTGCAAGCAGATTTTATCTTCAGTAGATAACTCACTTGTGTGTATTTGACATTAATCTTTGCTGTTAAAGAGGAATTCATTATCATAGTCATTCTCCTCCCTGTGTCTAAACTCTTAATTCCACCCAGTGTTCTGTATCTTATGGGAATGGTACTACAGTTTTCATTGTGCATGTTTTTTAACTTCTCTGTTTTCATGTCTGAGACACACTGAAGTTTGAAAGGTTTTTTTTTGTTGTTGTTGTTTAATCTCCAACACATCTATCCTTTTTTACATGAATAATTAAAGTGAAACTAAATTGAAATTAGTTGCTTGTGTCTTCCCCCTCCCCCCCGTCTTTTTGAGACAGAATCTCCCTGTAGCCCTAGATGGCCTGGAACTCGCTATGTAGACCAGACTGGCCTTAATCTGCCTGCCTCTGCCCTCCCGAGTGCTGGGATTACTGACATATGCCACCACACCTGGCATGTTTTTGATTTTTTAAAAATTATGTGTAAATATGTGTGTATCTGAATGTGGTTATGCACATTAGTGCCAGTGCCCATGGAAGCCAGAGGCATTGAATCCTTCCAAAGCTGGAAGTTACACAGCCAGTTGTGAGCTGCCCCATGTGGTTGTTGAGAATTGAATTCAGGTTCTCTGGAAGAGCAGTGTGTATTCTTAACCATTGAGCATTCTCTCCAGTTGGCTTGTTTATCTTTAATGAGAATTGGATCAACATGATGAAGATGTGATGAGAATGAGTTTGGAAGTAAACAAGTATTCATTGATAAATATTTCTTAGTCCAGTTCTTAGTTGGTGTTTGTATTTTTTCTAAATAT